ATATTGCAGTGGTTCAAATAAACAGTTAGGACAATCTATGGTAATATTTTTGTAATTAAAAATATTTAAATAATAATAATTTATGAAGAGTTTTACCTAGAGATGCTATTACGCCGTTCATAAAATGAATTAACTAAAGTTACAATGATTCGTCAAACAAATCAAATGTTTCATTGGTTCAACTAAACGGTGGATATATTTCATTTAAATATATTTTAGTAATTAAAAATTATTAATGTATGAAAATTTATATTCGAGCGACGTGACTGTAGATAAATAAATATTACAACGACATATAAAGAAACTAAAAATTGTAATTGTTAGTGAAATTAACCAAATGTTGCAATAATTTAATAAACTATTGTAAAAATTAATTTAAATTACCACATATATATATATGAAAATTACGATTCAACGACGTCACCTAGAGACTTATCATCTTCAGCATGGGAACAACACTCAAACGACGTCAGTTTTGTAAAAGTATTTTATATTATCCATTTTACGTATTGATGTATCTATACTGTATAGTATCTAGGAACTGAATGAACCTAGACACTAAACAGTACAGATACATCAATACCTAAAATGGATAATATAAAATACTTTTACTCAACTTACAAAACTGACGTTGTTTGAGTATTGTTCCCACTTCAGTAGATTTTATTTCTATTTTCGTATTTCGGTTTAACCATGGTCTGAATCTAATATATATATATATAAACTGCTCCATGAATATTTTTCCCTAATTAATGAAAATGAGATTTATTTTGTTGGTGTGTTGAAATTAGATTCACATTTTTTAACCACAGTTTGAAAAAACATACCGTATCATATCTGAGTTAACCACAGTTTCACATCACGACACCTCATAGCTAGGTGTTACTTCCAATACCCGTTTGAATTGGAACCTTCTTCTTATCAGCTTAGCTGTGTTTCATGTTTACCTCGTTTTATCTTATAATCCACTTATCATTTTTAGTAGGACCCAGGACTACTGTAATATCATAGGGGAAAAAATTTCAAAACTTTTTAAAAAGAAAAGTAAGAAACAAATTTTGACGATAAATAGACGTAACTTTCGGAAACATTTAATTTCTTGTTTTTCAGCTAAAACAAACTTTCATTGATTTAAAAAGGTTATTACAAAAATAATTACAAATTACTAGAACACAATTATTACATACGCAAATATATGCGCCATACACTGTGAAAAACACATCAGAAGGGAGATTGACGATGCTTTCCGAAGAGTAGTCTTACTCGCTAACCGATCATAAGATCCGTTATTGTCCAACTTCATATTTAATTTCTCTCTGTTACGATTGACATGCAACAACTTTTGGCTGAATTTTTTTTTTTGCAAACCGTAGCTTTAAACCTGATGTGTCCATAAATAACTCTGAAATGTAGACGAGGTGGTACCAAAGCTTCCGTACCAAGGTCTTTCAAAAAAAACTCGACTCTGTAATTTTCTTTAACACAATCACAAATATGTTTACCGTTGTGGTAGTTTCGACTATAGCATTCCCTTGGGGTGCTCGCCTTATAATTAATTTCTTATACAATTAGAAATGTAAGTATATAAATATATTCAACAATAAGAAAACCTTTTAGCAAAACTATATTACTATATTCAACAAAATATTATGATTAAAAAACGCAACAATTAAAATTGTGTTATGTTAAATAGAGACTATCCTCGGAAAACATTAACAAATAACTAAAATTAATAGTTATTTAGGAAAAAAAAAAAGATAACAAAGTGTATACATGAATGCTAAATAGCGAGAGTGATCGATTGACGATCTAGGGCAGTCCGAAAATGGGTTTCGGTGCTATGTAGATGGGTCCTGAAAAGAGAGTGATTGATTTTCTGGGTTAGGCTGGTTTTGTTCTAGCCCGACAGATGGAACACAAGACATGGGAGCTGCTAATATTCGAAGAAGTTTAACCTCACTTCACTTAGAGGTCGAAGCATTAATTTGGGCGATGAGATGTATGATCGGCCAAGACAAGAGAGAAGTAGCTTTCCTTACAGACTGCTCCGACCTGGTGAAGATGATGTCTTTCCCGCAAGAGTGGCCAGCGTTCGCAACATACCTAGAGGCGATTCAGAGCGACAAGAAGGAATTCGACGTTTTTTCATTGTCTTTAGTTTCTCGAAATGCGAATGTGAAAGCGAATAAACAATTATCCCCAACATTGGCTTATTTAAGGCAATCTATTATAGCTGTTGACGGGAAAAAAAAAGATTGCTAAATAGCGAAATAATGTAATTGTATATGAAAAATATCAAATAAAAGTAATAATAATATACAGAACTTTCTTAAGAAGATAAAAATATTTATAGAGAGTTAAAAAGACATGAACGTTTAAATCAATAAACTGTTTGTTAAAGACACAACTTTGAGAACAAAGAGTTCTGGTAAATAAGTACGAATAAAACATGTGAAAATATACAACTCTTAATGAACAAATATAACTTTAACTAATGCTGGCAAAAAAATATCATATAAAAATTGTAATAGTTCATCAAATAAATTAAAGGTTAATTGCAACAGTTCATCAAATATACCAAATGTTGCAGCAGTTAATCAAATAAACCAAAGATTTCAATGGTTCGTCAAATAAGCCAAGAAATTTAATGGTTCATCAAATAAACCAAATGTTACAGTGGTTGAATGAAACGGTAGCAACAATTTATTTAATATATTTTAGTAATAAATAAAAGAAACTATAAAGAACTGTAACCGAGAGACGCGACATATATATTAAATATATCAAAGGGTGCAACGGTTTATGAAATATACCAAAAGTTGCAACAATTTGTCAAATAAATTAAAGATTACAATGGTTCAAAAAATAAACTAAAATCGTTCGTCAAATAAACTAAATATGGAAGTGGTTCAATTAAACAGTTGCGACAATTCATTTTTTTTGTAACTAAAAATTAAAATAATAATAAGAATTTTTGAAGAGTTTTACCGAGAGATGCGACCGTAAATAGTAAATATACTAAATGCTGCAATGGTTGGTCTAATAAACTAAAGATTAATGGTTCACAAAATAAACTAATTAAAAGTGCAATGATTAGTCAAATAAATCAAATATTGCATTGGTTCAATTAAACAGTGAATATAATTCATTTCAAATATTTTCTAATAATTAAAAACTAATTTATGAAAATTTATATCCGAGAGACGCGACTGTAGATAATTAAATTTTACAATGGTTCATAAGATAAACTAAAAATTGTAATTGTTTGTGAATTAAACTAAATATTGCAATGGTTCAACTAAACTATTACAAAAATTAATTTAATTTTAAAAAATATATATAAAAAGTTACGATTAAAAAACGGAAAGACATTTTTTCGAATTGTTACTATTGTATAGACTATTTTTATATAGAGTTTCACTGGATTTGTACAAAGTCTATTCCTTTTGAATTGTCAACATTATCGTCTACATGTTTTGAAAGCCACTGGCTAATGGCTATAAAAGCAAAGGAAGTGAGAAGAGATTCTTATTGGATTTGAAGATGAGTTCAAGAATTGAAGCCTTAAGCTTTATGCTCGTGGTCTTTTTTTTCTTCCAAAGGTGTTATGTTTCTGCATTCACTAATGGTTTGGATGGTAAGTATAAGTATGATGGTGGTCAGGTTTTTCAGATATAAAAATTTCAAAATCTTTGAATTATTTTAAAAATGGCGCAGCTTCTGCTTTAAGAGCCCTAAAGAATGAATGGACCAGGTCTCCTAAAAGTTGGGAAGGCTCTGATCCTTGTGGAACCAATTGGGTTGGAATTACATGTACTAATAATCGCGTCGTGTCAATGTAACAACTTGTTTCTTTATATTTTTGTGGCTTCTTACAGTAATGCTTTTAATTTACATGTGCTTCTAATCCAAAACTAATTGGCGATGAGTGGAGTGACACATGTTTCTTATATATTGCTCAAGGTCCTTTCTCATCTTTCAATGTGGGATGTTGTTCACATGCTTCCTCATCAAGATTATGAGTCTAATCTCATGGCCCAATAATCCCAACCTAATCTCCAACAAATCCTTTGGAGAATTCTAACTATATGTTTCTTGTTGCAGATCACTAGTTAACCATAATTTGGAAGGAACGCTTTCTGAGTATATTTCAGCCTTGTCTGAATTGGAGATCTTGTAAGTCTCTCTTCTTCTTCTTCTTCATCTTCCTCCTATACGTAGAAATGGATTTTGTTCTCATCATATGATCCAATGTTCGTAGAGATTTGTCATTCAATACTGGATTGACTGGACCACTTCCACCAAACATTGGTAACCTTAAGAAGTTAAAGAACTTGTAAGAAAACATTATCATGATGACCCATTTGTAACCGCCTTATTTTTTTTCTTTTTCTTGTCATCTAACCGCCTTGTTTTATGGCATATTTTATAACTAACTCTTTTTCACTCTCCAGGATCCTTGTGGGATGTGGTTTTAGTGGTCAAATCCCTGAGTCCGTAGGATCTTTAGAACAACTTATTAAGCTGTAAGATTTTGTTGCTTCATGTTATCATAAATATATACTCTTTTTCAACTGTAGTCTAAAAAACATATTTAGTAATTACTTTGTGTTTCCTCCATATAGCGCCCTTAATTCAAATAAATTTAATGGAACAATTCCAGCATCCGTTGGACGGTTGTCGAAACTAGATTGGTTCGATATAGATGACAATCGGATAGAAGGAGAGCTTCCAATATCTAATGGGACTTCTTCACCTGGACTTGACATGCTTCTTCAAACTCAACACTTGTATATAATCCAAAAACAATTCCATTTTTTGTTATATAATAACTCTCTTTTTTAATTCATACTAACTAATCTTGAACTCACATTCACTTTCTCTTGTAGCCATTTTGGAAAAAATAAGCTTTCAGGCGATATCCCGGAAAAGCTCTTCAGCTCAAACATGAAATTGATACATGTGTAAGTTTCATAGCACTTGTGAAAGCTAAGAGTTTGCGCCAGTTAAGAGTAGTAACGAAATAAGTGATTGCATGGGTATGTTGTTTTGTCGATAGGCTATTCAATGATAACCAATTCACAGGAAAAATCCCAAAAAGCCTCGGCCTCGTTACAACGATGTTAGTGATGTAAGTAGTAAAAGATTTTTCTAATATCATTTTTTTATTTATCCTAATTTCTGTAATCTCATATGCTGTTTTCTTATTTCAAGACGCCTTGATACGAATAGACTAAGTGGAGATATTCCTCCAAGTCTTAATAATCTCACAAGGCTTGACCAACTGTAAGTGAGCAACAAAAGTTTTATTGTGATATTTGTAATTATAAATAAAAAGTGGTAACTTTGACCAAAAAAGAAAAAAAAAAGCGGTAAGTGATTTGAATCCATTTCAGGCACTTGGCCAACAACAAATTTACAGGTAGTCTTCCAAATTTAGCCAGTTTGACCGTTCTCGATGCATTGTAAGTTTTTTGTACTCCCTCTGTTTCTAGATATTTGATGTTTTGGGTTTTATTCTTGTTCCACAAAGATTGCTGTTTTGTAATAGCATCATTATTATTTTATTTGTGATAAATAGAGAAAAGAGAGAATTGAGATTAATATTATTAAACTATCAATAAAACAATAAAAATTTATAAAAATAACTTTTTTTCTTAATTAATGTGTAAAAACTCAAAACATCATTCTTTTAGAAACATAGAGAGTATTTCACTTCCTCTTTTTCTGCTCATTTTACCATCATTGTTACCCTTCTCGAACTTTCATTAATTACTAACCAAACTATTGCCATGATGCGATTGTTTTCCAACAGAGATGTGAGCAATAACACTTTGGAATTCTCACTCGTTCCATCATGGATCTCTTCATTACGCAACCTTTCAACATTGTATGAAAATGAACCTCTCTCACTCTCTCTCTCTCAAGATAAATATATATTGATGTGCATGCTTACGAATAACAAATGGTATTCTATTTGGCAGAAAGATGGAAGGGATCCAACTCATTGGTTCAATACCAATCTCACTCTTCAGTCTTATTCGATTGCAATATGTGTGAGTAAAACAATATTACATAAACTATGACTAGAAACCAACTTGTGAAATTTTTACGGATTGAGATGCCTTACGTTTTACTTGCAGTAACCTTAAGCGTAATCGGATAAACGGAACCTTGGAATTTGGTACCAACTATAGCAAACAACTGAAGTTTGTTGATTTACGATACAATAACATAACTGGTTATAAACAAGCAGCTAATGAACGCATCCAAGTAATGTATGTATTCTTATCACAAATAACAATGACTTCTTTGTTCAATATATTGATTATATTTGTTGATATATCTATAGATTGGCAAATAATCCAGTGTGCGGGGAGGTAGGGAACATGCCGAGTTTCTGCTCAGCAATCCAACACCAATCCTCATTTTCTATCATCCCAATCTATAATGTGGACTCTGTGGCCATCTGAAATATAAGAGAAAATGCAACTTGATGATGGAGCACAAGCTCAAATGTATATATGATCCTTTTGTTGGAGTTTGAATAAGTCTTTGTTTGAATTAGTATTTGATCTTTGAATAATCTCATGGATCGTAGTAGTCAAGTTGTTGCTCTATATGTTCAGTTCTGTTTCCGTATTTTCTAGTCAACAAGATGTAGAAGACTATGTCTTCAGATGTTGGCTATTTAAGCCTTGTTTCATATGCATAATAAAACTATCGAAGTACTTTCACTTCTGTTTGAGTGTTGAGCAATCTATAGAGAACTACACCTTTCATTGACAAAATGAAGGATGGTCAAATGGATGAAATAATGCCGAGCATAACAAAGAGAGCTAAGGACATCCAAATATCGTCATTGGAAATATCTTTTATATCTTAATTCATGTTTAAATATTTGTTCATGTTTGTTTTCGGTTTTCACCAATATTACATTTATGAGTAATTTCTCATTAATTCATGCATGTTGAAGACCGTTTTTGTGTTTTCCTAATTCTTTTGTGTGTCCTGTACTTTATCTTGTTTTCAATTGAATTTCCTCTTTATATTGTGGCTCATTTTCTTAATATGAAATCAAAAAATGACTTTATGAAATTAGAATGTTTTTTGAGCCTTTTTGAGCTGTTTAAATATTTTTTCCTATTATTTTGGTTTGGAAGAGTTAATGGTGAATTTCTAGTTTGTGAGGATATGTTTGATTACCAAATTTTCCAAGGTACATTATAAGGAAAAGAATCGAAACCACAAAAATCACACACATTACAACCTTCAGTGTCCATTTCAAAGAGGAAGCCACCATAGATTATGATCTCCTTTGACGAAAGAGGGATTGCATGTTCTAAGGGCAATAAATCATAAGCCGATAAGTCTAAGCCTTAACAACTACAAAATCTAATGCATGTAGCAGGAATGGTAACAAAGAGAATGAGATAAAGATCGTACGTAGTAGGATATGTTAGACACCAAATTAATGCATGTTGTGAGTTGTCTACGAATATGAAGTAATCGAATAGATAAGAGTATGAGATCACCACGATACATAGTCTAAACCACCGAGACTACTAAACAAACTTCAAAGCACCAAGCTAACACCAACTCTTGCATATATTTGTCACCAAAAACAAACAAAACCGCTCAAATCCACCGCTAGTTGCTCTCCGAAATCCAAAATATAAGAGAAATTGATAAAACAAATCGAAGAGGTTTGTTTGTCGGAATCACATGATTCAGAAGAAGATTTTATAATGGTGGCCTGACCCATAGCTAAAGCTGGTTAAACTGGTGTTTTAGACATCAAAATGTATATTATAAATTTATCATTTTAAGTAACAATTTCTATAGTCTAGTGGTTGAAGGTTAAAGGAAATTCATTTTTTTTTTGTCACAAGAGTGTCTTCTTTATTATAACATAGCCAAAGTTACCAGTACATTAGTGATTCTTCCACTTAGTCCAAAGCATAAAACAAACATCCACAACCAAATAGGATGCTCCAAAGCGACAAAGCCGACGAGTTCATAGAACCCTCGGAGCCAAAAGCCCCAAAACAGGGAGACAATTGAGGAAGAAACTCCTAAACCAACAGACACAAAGGGTTAAAGTCTTAAGCTCCTAAGAACTAACACTGAAAACTCTGAATCAAAGGCAACCGACGAACACTTCCATAGGAAAAGGAGACGCCAGAGCTGAGCTACAAACTGGAGCCCTTGAAAAGAACCAATCATTAGAATGCCCCCAGAAAAGACTGAAGGCCCGAGAAAGGAACTAAACTGAACCCACACAACCACAACACCGGCAGAAATGAAGACGGAGAATCAACTAAAACAGAGCACAGATTCTAATCCAACACTACCACTCCAAAGAACCAATGCATCGAGGAGGCAGCAGAACAAAGAGCAACAATTAAAACCGAGAGATGGAACGCCAAAGAGGATCTCCACTTCTTACACACGGACATCGTATGCCCCACCCAAGCCACCTACAGAGAAAGGATAGGTTACCGCCACGCAAGAGAAGAGATGGAGAAAGAATCCACTGCATCGTCTTGAACCCGTAGATGCCTCTGCAACAAATTGCCAACTTAAAGACGAATCCATCAATCAAACCTAAGCCAACGCAAGGCACCAAAAACTCGAGAGGAAGAACTAGGAATCAGATCCAATAACCCAATAGCCAACAAGAGGACCACACCTGACTACACCAATGATATAGAACCAGAGATTGAGAGCCACAAAATCCGGACCAAACGTCTAAGACGTACTACCGAACCTTAGAGAAAGGGCCAACAAAACATCTAATTCTCATATGAAGACCAAGCCAAAGATTGAATCCATCCTAAAATACCCACGACTAAACAACTAAACATCTAAAACTAAACCAACTGAGAGCAAGCGATGAGGAGCTTCAGCCAAGAAGAAACAAAGAAGACGAACCGGACCCGAGAATGGTACCTCATGAGTCACACCAAATGACGGTGAAGAGAATGGAAAGCACCGGAAATTCTGACAATAGATTAACCCGAGGAACCCTCCAGATATGAAACCCGACGAGACCTCCGGATCTAAAACGACTTCCCATCACCACCTGGAAAACCACCACGTCTCTATTATAATTCTCAGGTCACCTCACCTTGCCGTCACGCGCCGGAAGCAACCAAACCATGCGACTGAGAAATCAAAGCTGGCTTCAACACCACCAAAGTCCCGAAATCTTTAGAATTTCACTAACGATCATAAACAAACAGACACAAAAGCCGGAAAAAACCGGAATCAAAGCGCCAACACGGCGAGCCAAAAGCCCAAGGATCGGGAAACAAAGCAGAATCGATGCCGGATCAATAAGGATCTCCGGCTATCGATCCGAATCTAAAGACGGCGAAGAAGCTTTTGAAGAGAGAGAAGAGAGAAAACCCTCTCAAAGGAAATTCATTTAACCACCAATAAATGGTGGGTTCGGATATTGAAAAAGCCATTTTATGTTTTTATTTAATAAATATTTTTGTTAATAGGCTTAATTTTTTCTTTTGCTTTATGCATCAAAATACTACGGGCCGGAAACCATTTCAGAAGCCACCCTTGCAACATTCTAAAGCTGATCAAATGGATAAACAAAACTATGAGTTTGTGGGGACAAGTCAACTAACTCTTCTTAAAATTTGTACTTTCTTTGTTTGTACAAAATACAAGAGGTTACAACAACCCATAAGGAAACCCAAAAGACCAAGCAAATTGAAGTAAACAAAAAGCCCAACAGGCCCATACAATTGGGAGAAGCCGAGAAGGGATGATCGGTCATCAGACAGAGAAAATGTCTACTAACTCCCCTTTTGGCAAAACAAAACCTCTTATATCCCAAATGAGTCTACATATCCCTTTCTTGTTTAATGAAACGTGTGTAGACGAAAATACCCTTCATTCTTTTTCTTCAAATTGTTTAATGAATTTATATAAAAAAAAAAATCGAATCCAGGAAAAAAAAAAAAACGAGAGGCGTCTCTCTCTCGAGCTTCATCTCCGGCGAGCTGCATTGTTGCCGTTTCTTCCGTTCCGGCGAGCTTCCGGCGAGCTGCGGTGAGACAGGTTAGTTCCTTTAGCTGCATAGAGCTTGAAATAGAAGTTTAGGATGTAGACATATACTAAATAGGAGATTCAATTCAATTAGATTTAGGTAATTGTGTTTGGGTATGCACATTGGAAGTTTATGCATAGTTTTTGGGTCGAATAGGTCTGTAAATGGGTAAGAAATGGATTACAGGAACTGAATCATAGTGAATTGTAGTTTTGAACCCGAAACCATTTGATTTGAGTTCTTGTCGCGAAAGTACAACTGGTAGAACTGGGTAGAATTGTACCTGAATCTATTGAAAAATATATACGTAGTATTACTGGTTATACTAGTATTACCCAGATGTATGTAGTATGACTAGTTACACTAGTATTACCCATTTACATGTAGTATCACCAGTTACACTAGTATTACCCATTTTCATGTAGTATGACTAGTTATACTAGTATTACCCAGAATTGTAGTACAACTAGTACAACTAGTATAACTGACAGAGTTTTTGTATTGTTTTTGCAGGATACAATGATGGAGAACGTGATCATATATTTTAAATGCAAAGGTCGCATGTATAGCTTGATGATGAATACATCGGAGGGGAAAATAACGCTCTCCATGTTAGAAGGTAGGATATGCACGAAGCTTGGATTAGATAAAAGTAAGGTTAAATTGCAAATGAGGTACAATGCAGTGGTGTTGGGACCAGAGAAAGAGATTTACATTTGTGATGATGAGGATGTTGGTGTCTATATAGTTTTAGGTGAAAATAACCGTAGTCCGTAGATATGTTTTGTATGTGGAGGTCATCACTCCACCAGAATTGTCCGAGCAACTGTGGAGAGTAAAGGTTATGTTTTGTTTTGTTTGTGGTTGTTATTTGGCAATCATAATATTTGATTTTATCTGCACTTTATGATTTGTAAAATAATTTCGACTTGGACAACTATGTAACACTAGTTTTTTCTGATGTAATACTTTGTTTTTTTTTTTCTATGGCAAATGGGTAAAACTAGTATAAAAAGTAGTACTAATAACGTGATTTGGTAATACTAATAAAACTGATATAACTTATGAAGGAATTTGAATTTCGAATTAATTTTTTTCAACATTAAATATTACACTGACTATTAAGTGATAATGAACTCTTATAATGATATAAAATAAATTAAGTGAGAAAAAAAATTATATCATATCGGATTGTTTTAATAGACTCCATACAACATAATCCTTATACTTTTAAGTTCACTTTTTATAAAAACACCAACTTAGGATGGAAAATTTACAATTTTATATATTTTTAACGTATGATTACAAAAAATATTAAGAATTCTATAATTATAGAGTTTATTCAAGTGTACAACTAGATAAGCAATTTTTAAGAATATGTAATACTGGTTAAACTGAAAAACACCAAAAATACAACTATGTAGAAAATTTGTACAACCAATAACTAGGGTACAACTATGTTTTAAAAAAGCTGCGCACTGGTGGAAAAAAAACGGCGCACACGTGGAGAAGATGGGGCCCACGTGTCCCAAAATTGAAATTCTCCCATTTTTTTGGGTTTTCCCCCAAATTTGACGGCGCACATGTGTAAATTTGACTCGCACATGTGTAAATTTGATGGTGCACATAGTTTTACCTAGTAATACCAGTAGTATAAATAACAAAAACAAAACCAACATAGTTTTACCTAGTATTACCAATTGTACAAATCTAAACAACAACTATAAGATAAAGATATAGTAAAGAAGGTATATTCTTCTTCACCTCCAGCTACCATGATACTATCAATTTCATGTGGGATGTAAACAATGAACACATATTATAAACATTACAACCCAAAATAGTTCATATCATACAACGCTCTCAGAAAATATGACTCCATGGACGTAGCATCTTCTCCAATCTTTGTGTGCCCAATAACAATGCTAGATAAGAAGTAGAAGACCGTGTGGAATAAATTAAAAAGTCGAAATTTTCTCCCAAATGGCTCTACGGACGTAGCATCTTCTCCAGTCATTTTGAACATTCAATTTTGGGTAAGCTTCTAACATGGAGAGAGTTATCTTTTCCCATGATGTCTTCATCATCATGCTATACATGCGACCTTCATCGTCGATCTCCTGCAACAGAACAGACATTCATTCATATATTATTATTCTGTGAATAGTATTACCAGTATTACCAGTATTACCCTGAAAATATACACATAGTTATACCTTAGTAATACCAGTGTTACCCAGAATTCATACACATAGTTATACCCTAGTAATATCAGTATTACCCAGAAATCAAACATATAGTAATGCCCTAGTATTACCAGTTATACCCAGAACTCAAACACATAGTATTCCCAGTTCTACCAGTTTTACCAATAAATAATAGTTTTACCCTGTTCTACCAGTAGTACCCAGATATACACATAGTTTTACGCTGTTCTACCATTTCACACCATTCAAATACTTACCATAGCATTTTCCGGCGCATTTTCCACTACAATCTCATCCTTCTTACTCTCATCGGAGGAGGACTCTCCGCACAAGGATCTACTACCATCATCGGAGGAGGACTCCTCTCCTTCCTCATTCCCTTCCTCATTCCCTTCTTCTTTCTCTTCTTCTTTCTCTTCTTCTTCTTCGCTCTCTTCTTCTTCACTCTCTTCTTCCTCATTCTCTGGCTCCAAAACCGGACTTAAGGTCAAGGATGGCTGCGCAGTCGAAGATGGCTGCTCCGTCGAGGATGGCTGCTGCTCCGTCGAGGATGGCTGCTACTCTGTCGACGATGGCTGCTGCTCCGTCGTTGGTACTTCTCTCTTCCTCTTTAATCCAGTTTTCTTTGGAGGCATTATCGGAAACGAGAAAACGAATGTGGTTACGAAAGAGAAACGAAACTCGAAAATCTGAAGTTGGTTTCGAAATCAAAATCTCCCAAGAATAGTTAGCAGTTACGCTTTAGATGAAGGAGAATAAGGAGAGGAGAAATTCTAGGGATTTGATTTTGATTTCTCTTCTTTTCAACGGATCTCTCTCATAAACTTTCAAAGATTTTAATTTCTCTTCGATTTGATTTCGTTTTTTTTTCCTTTTCAAACACAGAGAATAAATGAGAATTAGGGTATCTGATTAGAAGAGATGGGTCGGGTGTGAGTTTGAATAGATCCAGGTTTTACCAGTAATATTGAAATTTTGGTTGGGGTATAGCAGTAATATCCATATTTTTCGTTTTAAATTTAAATAAAAATAAAATTGTGTTTTATGAAGGGAGATATGAGACGAGAGTTTGCCAAAAGGGGACTCACGAGACATTTTCTCCATCAGACAACAAACCGAGAAGGTGAAACAACAAAGAAGAAACCCGACACTTCGGGAAATTATTCAAGATGAGAACGGAAACGATGTACGGTTGATGTGATCTCAATATTAGATATAGTATTCCGGTTAATCGGAGACAAAGAAGCCATAATCTGCAATTCACGGAAAAGTTGGATACACTCTGGAAGTTAACCAACTCAAATTTTAGATAACCGGAATGAAGATTCCAGGTTACTACGATCCTCCAGAGACTCAGGTTTCAGAGTAGAGCAGCTGTGTCTGTTTCAAATTCAAGTATGAGACTTTTCTGCAACCCAAACAGATCCTGGTCTGAAGAATTAACCATCCAGAGTAGCTTTAAAATGCAGGTACCAAGTTCTTAAGGCTAGTCATTTCACTTCCAGCCATATACTTTGATTAGCTTTATACAACTTAATTGATGTTACTGTTGCATCAGAACTTTGTGATTTCAGCATTAACAGAATTTAGGAGTTGCAAGCTTCCTTGAGATACTATATACTATGCTTGTAAAAGACATGTTTAATAAGTTATTCAAGAGTTTTCCACAAGTTTTGTTGAACATTTTTGAAGTTGTTGAGATTATTATCATAGAAAATTCCAAAAAGGTATTTCTTTTACTCTTAGTAATTAATCTAAAGCTACTGAAAAATGAATCGCTAGAACAATCTATATCCAAACTGATTATTAAATACACAAATTGCAACTCTAACAAATGTGAGTGGTGGTGTAGCTTAGGTTTCAAATGGTCGCGGCCGATGGGGCTTGGATTTCTTGTCATTTATTATTCATAAATTATAATCTATAGTGATGTGAACATAAAAAAAAAAAAAAAAAATCCGCAGCAAACAACTGCATACCACTTTTACATAGAAATAAATTTGGTGTGCTGTAGATTGTTGTCCGCCCAAAAAATAAAATGGTTTAGTCCGCTTCACCCGTAACATCCATTTAAAGCCTTAAAATACACGTAGTTAACGCGTAGAGTGTTTGAGTGTATATATGTATCCCCTAAACACACGTCGTTGCACGAGTGTAGCTTGTGGACACTAACATTTTCATCCACTATCAATTTGATCGACAAAACATTATGTTGACATACATCAAATAGCTTGATCCTACCACTACAACACTGCTATGATGTCTCTCCACTTCTTGTTGTTCTTGTTGTCCTTGCTACTTGTACTCTCTTAGTCTCCCCTTTGGTAATTAATTTCATCAATAGCCAAAATTTAAAGGTTTGGTCCTTGTAAGCTAGACACAACACAATTAGTTACACATCTTCTTCTCATAGCTGTGGCCGCCATCACATTTATTTATATATGTTTTGCATACCCACTCGATTATTATATAATTAATTTGGAAATTCTGGTCAATATTTCATCAAATCATCATCATTGTTGTAATCAGTATTTGTTTATCAAGTTGGTAAATTGCTTGTGCTCATTTTTCCAACGAAGCAACGACTATGACTTTATTCAATGTTGGTTAGTTAAAAAAACCATATCACTGCATAGTTGATGACCACGACTCTATTCCACAAGTCTCTTTTTCTATGATCAAACTTTTTAGGCAAAACAAATCATATCTTATTCTTATGTTTTTGAAGTTTATAGATATTTTTTTTTGTCAATAATGAGTGTATTTAATACAGTAGATAAATAAGGGTCCTACACTAGTTTCGCATCACGACAACTCATATGTATACTTTAATGTATTGTTTCATAATTTGTTCCTTCCCATTACTCTATTGACATTTCCATTTAACAACTCTTCCCAATTGAAAAACCTTTAAATCCCATTATCAGCTGTTTCAAGTTGACCAAGTTTTTTTCTTATGGTCCTTTTCCCCTATTTTCTTCTTTTGATTATACATTTTTTTAACTCGATTTTGTTCAAAGTCTTCTTCCCTTTTTGTTAACATTATTGTCTTACATTTTTTGAAAGCGAGGTTGTAATTTTTATTAAGAGATTCGTAATACCTTTGTGAAGAGCACATGCTTTTTTTCTTAGATCATTTTTGAGATAGAATCAGAAAACAGAGGAAGTGATTAGAGGTTCTTTGTTGGTTTGAAGATGAGTTCAAGAACTGGAGCCTTTATGCTCCTGATCATGTTTTTCTTCCAAATTTGTTCTGTTTCTGCGCTCACAAATGGTTTAGACTGTAAGTGTATATATACAAGCATATAGATGATGAACAGAGTTTTTCCTAATCTACAATATTGGTGCAGCTTCTGCTTTAAATGCTCTGAAGGCTGAATGGACCAGTCCTCCTGATGGTTGGGAAGGCTCTGATCCTTGTGGAACCAATTGGGTTGGAATTACATGTCAAAATGATCGCGTCGTTTCAATGTAAGAGCTTGTTTTTGTTTGTTTGTTTGTTGCTGCTTCTTCCAATAATGCTATGCAGACTTTAACGTTGTGTTGTTGCTTGCTGCAGATCACTAGGCAACCTAAACTTGGAAGGAAAGCTTCAGCCCGATATTTCGTTCTTGTCCGAGTTGCGGATCTTGTATGTCTTTCTTCTTCTTTAAATTATTCCTTTCACATTAAAATGTTTTTTTGTTTGTTTTCATCTTATTATCCAATCTTTTGTAGGGATTTGTCTTACAATCCTAAATTATCCGGACCGCTTCCACCAAATATCGGTAACCTTGGGAAGTTGAGGAACTTGTAAGGAAACACATTATCATTAGATCTCTAGTACCATTTATGTATCTCCTTATCGTATCTCTTGTTTTAACTAACTCTTTTTACTCTTCAGGATCCTTGTGGGATGTAGTTTCAGTGGTCAAATCCCTGAGTCCATTGGAATGCTAAAAGAACTTATATATCTGTAAGATTTTGTTGCTTCCTGTTATTAGAAACAGTATCTTATTCACTTGCATTCTCCAAACCCATTAGTATTAATTTGTGTTTCCTCCATACAGCTCCCTAAATTTAAATCAATTTAGTGGAACAATTCCGGCTTCAATTGGCCAGTTATCAAAACTATATTGGTTCGATATAGCAGACAATCAGATTGAAGGAGAGCTTCCAGTTTCTAATGGGACTTCTTCACCTGGACTTGACATGCTTCTTCAAACTAAGCATTTGTATATATAATCCAAAATCTTTCCATTTCATTTATTATAATCACTCCCTTATACTAATTAATCTGACTCTCCTTCGCTTTCTCTTGTAGTCATTTTGGAAAAAACAAGCTTTCGGGCAAGATCCCAAAAGAACTTTTCAGTTCAAACATGACTTTGATACATGTGTAAGCTTCATATTACTTATAATGCTGAGAGTTTTCATAAGTTTTGAGTAGGTAACTAACAAAGCGACTGCATTGTTCGTTGTTTTATCGATAGGCTATTCGATGGAAACCAGTTCACGGGCGAAATCCCAGAGACCCTCAGTCTCGTTAAAACGTTGACGGTGTTGTAAGTAGTAATAGATATTTCGAATTTTCTATTTATCCTAACTTGTATAAGTCTCATGTGTTGTTTCTTTGTTCTAGACGCCTTGATAGGAACAAACTCATTGGAGATATTCCTTCAAATCTTAATAATCTCACAAACCTTAATGAACTGTAAGTGAGAAAAATAAAAAATATGTTCTTTGTTTGTAGAAAATAAATGAAAATGAGGTAAAACAGTTTGTAGTTGAATACATTTCAGGTACTTGGCCAACAACAGATTTACTGGTACTCTTCCAAATTTAACAAGCTTGACCAATCTCTACACATTGTAAGTTTTCTATATTTCTCTTCCTTTTTTTTGACCAGCTCTATTTACCATCACTACCAATCTCAAACCTTCATTCTTTATCAATCTAATCCCATGATGTGGTTGTAATGTAACAGTGATGTGAGCAATAACACTTTGGATTTCTCACCCATTCCATCATGGATCTCTTCATTACCCTCCTTATCAACATTGTATGAACATACTCTGTCTTTTTCTCCATTTATCTCTATGTGTATGCTTGCTAAGAACAAATGGTTATCTTCTTCGCAGAAGGATGGAAGGGATCCAACTTAATGGTGCAATACCAATATCATTTTTCAGCCCTCCTCAGTTGCAGACTGTGTGAGTAAAAAAAATACATGAAGCTAGAAATTACTCAAGAGTTCACAACTCTATACTAATTGGGATGCTTTTCTTGACTTGCAGAATTTTAAAGCGCAATAGTATAGTGGAAACCTTAGATTTTGGTACAGACTTTAGCAGTCAGTTGGAGTTTGTGGATTTACAATACAATGAAATAACTGATTATAAACCAGCAGCTAATAAAGTCCTCCAAGTAATGTATGTGTATCCCTTTCACATGTTAAAAGGACTCTTTTTTTCTCAATCAACTGCTTATGTGTGTTTATATATCTACAGATTGGCAAATAATCCAGTGTGCCTAGAGGTGGGAAACGGGCCGAATTACTGCTCAGCAATCCAACACAATACCTCATTTTCTACACTCCCAACAAACTGTCCACCCTGTGATAAGGGCATGGAACCAAGTCCTACGTGCAGCTGTGCGTATCCATTCACGGGAACACTCTACTTCCGGTCACCTTCCTTCTCAGGGTTGTTCAACTCCACTAACTTCTCAATTCTACAGAAGGCAATAGCGGATTTCTTTAAGAAGTTCAATTATCCTGTAGACTCCGTGGGTGTCCGAAACATAAGAGAGAATCCAACTGATCATCAACTTCTAATAGATCTATTAGTCTTTCCATTGGGCAGGGAGAGTTTTAATCAGACAGGAATGTCACTTGTTGGTTTTGCATTTAGCAACCAGAGTTATAAGCCTCCTCCGATATTTGGCCCTTACATTTTCAAAGCCGATTTGTATAAACAGTTCTCTGGTATGATGAAACTTGTTACACACACAATCAAACTGGACCTAAAGTTGGTTCTAGATAACTCATTAGCTCTGCCTTGTTTTTGCCACAGGTGTAGAAGGTTCATCAAAGTCATCAAACAAAAGCATTCTCATCGGAGCAGTAGTTGGTGCTGTTGTTCTTCTACTGTTGTTAACAATAGCTGGGATTTACGCTCTTAGGCAGAAGAAGAGAGCAGAGAGAGCAACTGGTCAAAATAATCCTTTTGGTAAGAAGAAAAACTTTACTACTACAAAATATTCTCCCTTGACTGAAATAGCATGACAAATTTTCTTTTGCATGTTGCAGCCAAGTGGGATACGAGTAAGAGCAGTATCGATGCTCCACAACTAATGGGAGCAAAAGCGTTTACTTTTGATGAGCTAAAGAAATGTACAGACAACTTTTCAGAGGCAAATGATGTTGGGGGTGGAGGTTATGGCAAGGTTTGTGTCTTAACAAATGCCCTCAATTGAATGAAGCAATGTCCTTAGTTGAATTATGGTCTCAAATTTGATGGTGAAACAGGTGTACAGAGGAATTCTTCCCAATGGACAACTCATAGCAATCAAAAGGGCTCAACAAGGATCTTTGCAAGGAGGGTTGGAGTTCAAAACTGAGATTGAGCTTCTTTCAAGGGTCCATCATAAGAATGTTGTCAGACTCTTAGGCTTCTGCTTTGATCGAAATGAACAAATGCTCGTATACGAGTACATTTCAAATGGGTCTCTTAAAGATAGTTTGTCAGGTAAGATCAAACTACTATCTTCATCTGAGGATTTTTGATAGTTATTGGATGCTGAATTTGTTAGTAATGCAGGGAAGAGTGGAATTCGATTAGATTGGACAAGAAGGCTTAAAATAGCACTTAGTTCAGGCAAAGGCTTGGCTTATCTTCATGAACTTGCTGATCCTCCAATTATACATAGAGACATCAAATCAAATAACATCTTACTTGATGAAAATCTAACTGCAAAAGTTGCTGATTTTGGCCTCTCCAAACTTGTGGGAGACCCTGAGAAAACTCATGTGACAACACAAGTCAAAGGAACCATGGTGAGTTGAGAAAATTTATCCTCTTTACTCTTTTTTCTCAAACACATTTCAAACTTACAATATCTTTGGAACTAGGGGTACCTTGATCCAGAGTACTACATGACGAATCAATTGACGGAGAAGAGCGATGTGTATGGGTTTGGTGTGGTGATGCTGGAGCTATTAACCGGTAGAAGTCCTATAGAGAGAGGCAAATATGTGGTGAGAGAGGTGAAAACAAAGATGAATACATCGAGGAATTTGTATGACCTACAAGAATTGTTGGACACAACGATCATCGCAAGCAGTGGGAATCTGAAAGGGTTTGAGAAGTATGTAGACTTGGCTTTGAGATGTGTGGAGGAGGAAGGAGTTAATAGGCCATCAATGGGTGAGGTTGTGAAAGAGATTGAGAACATAATGCAGCTTGCGGGTTTAAATCCTAACTCGGATTCAGCTACGAGTTCAAGAACGTATGAAGACGCAATCAAAGGATCTGGTGATCCTTATGGCAGTGAATCGTTTCAGTACAGTGGGAATTTCCCAGCTTCAAAGCTTGAGCCCCAATGATTGATTATGTCTTCCTTTTTTCTTTTTGTTATTTCGTAAGTGACTTCACTTGAAATGCCTTGTGAATGTGGAGTAGCATGATTTTGATATGTTTGTTATGTGGTCGTTGACTATAAAGCAGAGGAAGTAAGATACATGTAATGAATATATTAATTCTTGTTGAGAAGTTTGTGTGGTCTTAAAGATTTAAATCATTTAATTAACACACCACACACAATTTAGTTCTAATACTTTGTAATAAGACGGTACAAAGTCACCTTGAGCATTTCACAAAACCAATCAATTTGGGTTAAAATGAAAAAAATAATATCTATAATTTATTTAGGAGGGAGTACTGGTCAAGATATCATCAAACCATTAGCACCATCGTGTTGCAATTAGTATTATTTTCTCAAGTTGGTAAATGCTTTTGCTGAATTTTTCTATGACCATGACATGACTTTATTCCATGTTGTTGTTAGAAAAAAACCATATATCATAGTCGCTGCCCACCACTAAATATCACAAATTTCTCTTCTTCTTTTTTGGGAGGTGAAACGTTCTCGGAAACCAAATTATATCTTAGGGGTGTTATTAATATTCAATAATGCATTTTAACACAATTAATTTTTTTTTTTCTTTTGTGCTTAATATTTTCGAAAAACATCATTAACTATTTAATTTCATTTTCTTATATATACTTATACCATAACGATATCTTTGGATTAAGAACATAATAATAAGGAAGATAATTTGTTTTTGTTTTTTTTTTCAAGGAAGACTAATTTTGATCCTAAATGTTTTTGTGTGCCAAGTCTTAATTCATAATTCATTACCTTGTTAACATTTCTAAGTTTATCTAATAACTAGTTTGAACCCTTCCGTTAATAACGTATTATATATTTCAAGTTGAAGTATTTGTTTATATGGTCCACGGTCCATTTGTTTAAACTTTTACTTAACTTGTTCAAAGTCTTCTCCTTTTTGTCTACATGCTTTGTTAGCAAGAACATGGAGGCTGTATTTTTATTCTAGAGTTCGTTATAACTTGTGCAGACCACATGCTTTCTTCTTGAACGATTTGTGATACAATCATCGTGTGTCTAAAGATGAGTTCAAGAATTGGATTATTTCAGCTCTTGATCTTCTTTTTCTTCCAAATTTGTTCTGTTTATGCGATCACAGATGATTCAGATTGTAAGTATAAGTAGATGATGATTAGAGTTTTTTAGATATAAAAATTTCCAAATTTTTGATTTTTTTCTTCTTTCAATATTGTTGCAGCTACTGCTTTACAAGCCCTGAAGAGTGAATGGAAAACGTTATCCAAGAGCTGGAAAAGCTCTGATCCTTGTGGAAGTGGTTGGGTTGGAATTACATGTAACAATAACCGTGTTGTTTCAATGTAATACCTTGTTTCTTTTCTTTGTTTGTTCTTTCTCTAATATAATCCTCTATATATACAGACTTTAAAGCTGTGTTGTTTGCTTGTTTCAGATCATTAACCAACCGTAACTTGAATGGAAAGCTTCCTACCGAAATTTCGACGTTGGCTGAGTTGCAAACCTTGTAGGTCTTCCTTCTTCTTCTTCTTCTCCCCTTTGCATACAAATGGATTTTTGTTCCAATCTAATGATTCAATGTTTGCAGGGATTTGACAGGCAATCCTGAATTGTCTGGACCGCTTCCAGCAAATATCGGTAACCTCAAGAAGTTGATTGTCTTGTAAGCAAAGCAAACAAGATCTTAACCTAATTGCATTAATCACATTCTCTCATATATCGCCTTTTTTGTTTCTTTTTTCTTTCTCTAGGAGCCTTATGGGATGTGATTTCAATGGTGAAATCCCTGATTCCATAGGGAATCTTGAACAACTTACAAGACTGTAAGATTTGTTGCGTTCTATTATTTATAAACAGTCTCTATTTGAGTGTAGTCTTTAAACACATTAGTATTAATTTGCGTTTCTTCTATACAGCTCCCTGAATTTAAATAAATTTACTGGAACAATTCCGCCTTCCATGGGACGGTTATCGAAACTATATTGGTTCGATATAGCTGACAATCAGATCGAAGGAAAGCTTCCAGTTTCTGATGGGGCTTCTTTATCTGGACTTGACATGCTTCTTCAAACTGGGCATTTGTATATATATAAATCCCAAATCTTTCCATTTCTTTATATTTAATTACTCTTTTTTAATATACTAACTAATCTGACTCTCTTTCACTTTCTCTTGCAGTCATTTTAGTAATAACAAGCTTTCAGGCGAAATCCCAGAAAAGCTCTTTAGCTCAGACATGACTTTGCTACATGTGTAAGTTTCATAGTACATGCAAAAGCTGAGAGTTTTCACTAGTTGATAGTACTAGCAACTAACAACATTTTTATCAATAGGCTATTTGATGGAAACCAATTCACGGGTAGGATCCCAGAGAGCCTCGGTCTAGTTAAAAATTTGACAGTGTTGTAAGTAGTAGAATTATATTTATTCAAATATTTTTTGTTTATTAAAACTACTTTAATCTCATAGACTAATTTGATTCGTTACAGACGCCTTGATAGGAATAGACTAACTGGAGACATTCCTTCAAGTCTTAATAATCTCACAAATCTTCAAGAACTGTAAGTGGTCAACTAAAGATTTGTTCTGTTTTTTTGTATATTTGTAAATGAAAAGATGTAAAAGAGTTTGTAGTTGAATCCATTTCAGGCATTTGTCCGACAACAAATTTACAGGTAGTCTTCCAAATTTAACCAGCTTGACCAGTCTCTACACATTGTAAGTTTCTATATTTTTCTTCCTCTTTTTGTTGCTCAATTTACCGTTCATTATTAATCAAGCTAATGCCATGATATGATTATTCTGTAACAGGGATGTGAGCAATAACCCCTTGGCATTATCACCGGTTCCATCATGGATCCCTTTCTTAAACTCTTTGTCAACATTGTATGAGCACAATCTCTCTTTAGATATATAGATTCGTGTGTAGACTTAAATAATAACAAATTATGGTCTTCTACTTGGCAGAAGGATGGAAGATATTCAGCTTGATGGTCCAGTACCAACGTCCCTCTTTAGCCCTCTTCAGTTGCAGACTGTGTGAGTCCTATAAGATATGAAAGGTCAACTCATAGTTGTGAAACCTATACTGATTGGGATGGTTTTTCTTGACTTGCAGTTCCCTAAAGCACAATCTTATAAACACAACATTGGACCTTGGTACCAACTATAGCACACAATTGGATTTTGTGGATCTACGAGATAACTTCATAACTGGTTATAAATCAGCAGCTAATAACCACGTCGAAGTAATGTATGCATTCATCTTGGTCACAAACCAATATGTAACATCTTCGATGAATTACTTATGTATGTGTGTTAATATATATACAGGTTGGCAGATAATCAAGTGTGCCAAGACCCGGCGAACCAGCATAGTGAATACTGCAGTGCAGTCCAAGCAAGTTCCACATTTTCTACCATCCCAAAAGACTGTGGTCATCATTGTAGTAAAGGTAGGGAACCGAATCAAGGCTGCCACTGTGTGTATCCACTTACAGGAGTATTCACCTTAAGGTCTCCTTCCTTCTCCGGGTTTTCCAACAACAGTACGTTTATACAGTTCGGGGAGAGTTTAACGGCTTTCTTTAAGAATGGCAAGTATCCTGTGGACTCTGTGGCCATGAGCAACATAAGCGAGAATCCAACTGATTATCATCTATTAATAGATCTAACGATCTTTCCATTGGGAGACGACCGTTTTAATCAGACGGGAATGGACTCTATTAATTCTGTATTTACCATTCAGGCTTATAAGCCTCCTCCAAGATTTGGTCCTTATATTTTTGTCGCCGATCAGTACAAAACATTCTCTGGTATGATGAAACTGGTAACACACTCAAACCAAATCTATATTGGTTTTAATATGACTCATTTTCCCTGCCTTTTTTATTTCACAGATACAGAAACTTCCAAGTCAGTAAGTATGAGCGTTATAATTGGAACAGTAGTTGGTGTTGTAGTTCTACTGTTGTTGTTGGCTATGGCTGGGATTTACGCTCTTAGGCAGAAGAGGAGAGCAGAGAAAGCAAATGATCAAATTAATCCTTTTGGTAAGAAACAATGGTTCAACACTACAACAAAATACTTTCTCTTGTCTAATGAAAATCCTGACAACTTCTCGTTTGTTTGTTTTAGCCAAGTGGGATACGAGTAAGAATGAAATCGATGCTCCACAGCTAATGGGAACAAAAGCCTTTACCTTCGAAGAGCTGAGTAAATGTACAAACAACTTTTCAGATGCAAATGATATTGGAGGTGGAGGTTATGGCCAGGTTTGTGTATTTGCAATGTCATCAACTGATAACCAATGGTAGTAGTAAAAATTATAATACCAATTTGATGGTGAAATAGGTGTACAAAGGGACCCTTCCCTCTGGGCAAGTCATAGCAATCAAAAGAGCTCAACAAGGATCCATGCAAGGAGCTTTCGAGTTTAAAACCGAGATTGAGCTTCTTTCAAGGGTCCATCACAAAAATGTTGTCAAGCTCTTGGGATTCTGTTTTGATCAAAAAGAACAAATGCTCGTATACGAGTACATACCGAATGGGTCTCTTAGAGACGGTCTATCAGGTAAATATCTAATCTTTATCTTGCTTTGTAATTAGTTCTTTGGTGCTGAACCTGAAAACAAATGTAGGGAAGAATGGGATTAAACTGGATTGGACAAGAAGGCTCAAAATAGCACTTGGCTCAGGGAAGGGTCTAGCTTATCTTCATGAGCTTGCTGATCCTCCAATTATACACAGAGACGTCAAATCAAATAACATATTACTTGACGAAGATCTAACCGCAAAGGTTGCCGATTTCGGCCTCTCCAAACTTGTTGGGGACCCTGAAAAAGCTCATGTCACAACACAAGTGAAAGGAACAATGGTGAGTGAAAAAGAACCTATCATCAAATATTCAAATATATGAAACCTATTAATTACAAAAACTCATAAGATCTTTGGAATTAGGGCTATCTTGATCCGGAGTACTACATGACGAATCAGTTGACGGAGAAGAGCGATGTGTATGGGTTTGGTGTGGTGATGCTTGAGCTATTAACCGGTAAAAGTCCGATAGATAGAGGCAGCTACGTTGTGAAAGAGGTAAAGAAGAAGATGGATAAATCAAGGAACTTGTATGACTTGCAAGAACTGCTGGACACGACGATCATTGCAAACAGCGGGAATCTGAAAGGGTTCGAGAAGTATGTAGATGTGGCTCTGAGATGCGTGGAGCCAGAGGGAGTTGATAGGCCAACAATGAGTGAGGTGGTGCAAGAAATTGAGAGCGTATTGCGGCTTGTGGGATTAAACCCTAACGCCGATTCAGCAACATATGAGGAAGCATCTGGTGATCCTTATGGTAGGGATTCGTTTGAGTACACTGGGATTTTCCCAGCTGCAAAACCCTAACGCAATGATTGATATATTTCTTCTTGTTTTTTTTGGTTATCTTGTAAGTGACTTTACAACTTGACATGCCTTGTGAATGTGTGTACTAGCATGATTTGATTTTGATATATGTTGTTTTGTGGTCCCTGCCTATATAGTGTAAGCAAGAATCGGAATCTATAAACTAAAGAGAAGCAAGCTTTTTGGATTGCAACCTAACATCAACCCTAAGTTGTCATGATACTAAATAAATCTAATCACAGTCTTGAATATACTCTCTTTGAGGTTGTCTTAGCCCATGAAGAGCTCTCACCATTGGAGATGCTCTAAGCACGTTGCATATTTTTCAAATCAATTCATATTTAGATATTTTTCCCCAGCTTGGGATTCATATTTGAAACAATGGCTAGAAAGCCACTTTCTCAGAAAATTTAGGCTAGAATGCCACTCTCTTTTTTTAATTTTATTTAACAATTTTTTTTAAATCAAAATCTGTAGTAAAAGTCCAAAACACCTTAATATCTACTAAAAATTACATATCCAACCATGAGGGACCCAAATCTATACAATTATATTTGTGTTATCTTCTTCATCGTAAGTTTTTTTTTTTTTGTCTTTTTTTTCTGTTGGTTTTCTCTTCTTCTTTTTCTTTAACTGAGTTCCAAAAACCTCCAAATCTAATTCTATGAAATTCAATCCAAGACCATTTGAGTTAAGAATCGAAATCAGAGTTTGGGAAATAGTTAATCTCGATTAAAATTTCTTCAATTTCGGCGAAATTTCTATTGAAATCTGCTTCTTAGATTCATGAAAAGTTTTTAAATTTTGAAATCGTCGTATGAACCTGTTTTACGATCTAAGCTATCTGCGGCGGTTACAGTTTCACCACCAGCTCCGGAAGAGAGAGAGAGACAGGGGTCGATGCCGATGAGGCGAGGCGGAGGAGAGAGGACAATCTCGTCGAGATTAGAAAAAAACAAGCGTGAGGATAGTCTCCTCACGAAGCAGCAGCAGCAGCCTCCCGGAGCTGGCCTCGACGAATGTTGCCGTCGTTGAGAAACGAGTAAGTTCCCGATCTGAATTTCGAGACAATTGTGCGTGACTTTTTGATTTGGATCCCAGGATTTGATTATTTAGTGATGTATCTTTGTTTGATTATTGAAAAAAGTGAGGCTTTGATTCTAGATACACCACGTTCAACTAGTGTGTTGTGTTTGAATTTTAATATTTGTAATTTGGTTTTATTAGTTGCAACAACGGGAAAAGATTAACAACGAGATTTATTACCATGTCCTTCTTCACATGTAATGCCTTTTGCTTCTCCATGAGATATTGGTGCACCTTCTCTTGTTCCAATTCGGGCTTCTAGATCATCTATCAGATCCTCAAGCTCTAGGTATGGAGGAAGATCCAATCAACCTGCATATTCTTTGGAAGGTGATCTGAAAAATGAGGTATGCGTTCTTACTTGGCATTGTGCACTCATGGTCATGCCAATTAGATAGAATTTAATGTCCGTTGTTTCCCATGTTTTAAGAATCCATACCGGGCTTGCTTGATGAATGTTGATGAGGATTATGGTTCTCTTGCATTGAGATTTAAGAAAATTGTTTGGCTTTACTTTGCCATTGCTTTGATCTAGAGGATAAAATGAACAAGCTTTGTGTCAATGATTCATAGGTTCTGATTTGTTTAGAAAGTACTCTCTCTGTTTCACAAAGAGTGTCATTTTAGAGTTTTGCACACAGATTAAGAAAACATTAAATTTTTTGTTTTTTCTAAACAAAAACATCATTAACTATATACCTAAACATAATCTGCCCAATAGTAAAACAATCTGCAGAATACTAATAGTCATAAAACATAAAAAATCATTAAATTTTGCATTGAAAACCTAAAACGACACTCTTTGTGAAACAAAAATAAAACCTTAAAACGACACTCTTTATGAAACGGAGGGAGTATGAAACTTTTTAGCGTGAATTTGTCGGTTATGAAGTTTTGATTTCCGACCTGAGGAAGTAGATTACATTAGTTTCTAGATGAGATTTGATCCATATGAAAATCTCTTAGGCATTAAGTAGGAATCAAGAAGTCAGGACTAAGTCCCATTCATGCTTGTCTTAAGCTATGATCGCCCTCCATGTCACAAAATTGTTGCATTTTGGGTTTCCAAAGCTACCATTCTGCTCTTTTAAAATTCAGCCTAGCCATTGGCCAGCAATGGTTTCACTTTTTCCTTTAGTCTAGGACCTTTCTCTAGGCTTCTTGTTCATTCATTCATCTGCTTGAATTGGCTGGTTTTGGCTTTGCAGTGTTGCTCTGTCAAAGATAGAGAATAAGTGGAAGGAAGAGCTTGATCAAGAACTATAAAGAAAGCGCACAAGTCAAGTCTTTTTTGTGACAATCATGATTATACACTGCACGTACTTGTGAATTAAGATTGCACATGACTTATGTTTTTGTATTTCATTTCTGTATTTTGTTGTGTTGTAGATTAAGAACATATTACTACATGTACAACTAGATCACTTAGGTACAACTGAGACAATTTTTGTATAACTTGAACTACTTGGTGCAACTACACTATTTGATTGTTCAGATAGTTTTTTTTTTGTTTTTGGTGCAAATGATAAATTTGGATATAACTACGTGTAAAAGTGGATCTTTTGTTTGTGTATGGTAAATACAATATTTAGATTCTATTTATGTTCAATTGGATTTGTAGGTACAACTAGTCTATTTAGGTACAACTATGTGTATGAGTTATTTATAAGAAAGTACAACTAGATCACTTAGGTACAACTGAGACAATTAAAAATAACATTTAAAAAAAAATTATTTAAAATAAATTAAAAAAAAAATGATCCACGTAAGCATCATTTTTGGCGGCGGGATATTATTTTAAAATCATCACACGTGTGGTAAAGTGGGCCAATGACAGCAGGATATTAATAAAAAAATTGTTTATTTTAAACATAGTTGTACAGTTGTACTCTTATATTCATAGTTGAACTTTTGCGAGTTTTGTATATTTCCAGTTGAACTTTAATGAAAATTAATAATTTATAGTTGGACACATGATGTTACACTATTAATTATCATTTAGGATGTTTTCATAATACAATGTTCAGAAAAACTTGGTTTTCACCTCTTTTGCTTCATATGAGGCGATCTTGTACTAAGTCTTCCTTATACTAGAAGGAGTGTTTTCTGTGAAAAAACAAAATTTGTTACAAAATTTATAAATTCTGGTTGTATTTATTTTAAATACTTTATATTTGAAGATGTTTTTAGGGAATTTCTTATATAAATCTTAATTTATAACTTAATAATTTAATAAATCATTACAAATTTGATGTACCTAGTTGAACTAATAGTATGTATTAAAAAACGATAAATTTGAATTTTATTTATTTAAAATTGTTTTTTATAGTTCAAGATGTTTTTGAAATCTTTATTAACTCTAATTTATTGTTTCCATAATAGTTAAATACAAATACATATACATTTATGGTCGTAGTTGTACCCAGTCGAACCTAGTTGTACGAATACGACAAATAAATACATATAAAATTCGAATAGTGTTCTCGAGATTATAACATTTGGTTGCCCCACAAACGTGATCTCACACGGTAATACGTCCTCCTTTGATTCCATATTCCTGAAAAACTCAATTGCTTATGTGTTTTGGCTTCTTCGACTCTTCCACATCTGACATACAAGTTCAAGAGTACATTGTTGGAATGTAAGTTTCGTGTCAAACCCACTTTGATCATATATACATGAACGCGCTTACCCAATATCAAAGCACCAAGCTTTGCACAAGTAGACAACAAGCTAACGATTGTGAACCCATTAGACTTGATACCCTTAGAATCATTTAAGTATAAAGCGCCAAAGCTTCGTTTGGTTTACCGTTTTCTACAACACTATTAATTACAGAATTTCAAGCCACAAAATCTTTCTCAAGCATTTTATCAAACACCTTGTATGCATTAGCTACATCTCCACAATTGGCATATATCAACAAACCAAACCCACTTCTTATAACAACAGAATGAATCGTCTCTCCCAACTGAACATCCGCCATTTTTGCCACAACTTTTAGAAGAAACGAATATATATGAGTATCGGGCACAAACTTTCATATATGTATTTTTGTGTATGTAGCTCTGACGATTTAAGGATTGAGATTGGAAAAAGATGGTTTGAGATGAAGGAAGAAGTGAAGCTAAGGCGAAACAGCCAAAGAGGAAGAGAAGAATCGTTGGCGTCGTCCACAAATTTGATTTTTTTTATTTAGTTTCTTTTTCTTTTTATTTATTTGTGTTTTAATTTTAAAAAATATATTAACAATATTCATTAAGGGTATAAAGAAAATATCACAAAGAGAAGTGGCATAGAGACTATAGAATGGCATGCGTGATTCTTTTTTCCGGTTCAGTGGCTTTCCAGCCTGTGACCCTTCATATTTGTTTTGTTCTTTTTTTTTTTTTTTCTGATATAGAAAGAACCAATTCCTTTTAGTCACATTAAAATATGCTTACTCCGATAGATTATTTAACTTTTGTTTGTATCGTATTAGATCGATAAGCCGGAACATACGCTGCGGCAAGCCAACTTCCCCCATTGACGGTGTTCTTGCAATACAAAAGTAAAAACCTTATTACGTACTCCAAACATGTAAAAATAACTGTGAAATGCTTTCAAAAGTAGACTGCATACAAACAATAGAATAGACTTAACTTAGATAGTACAGTTTAGCTTGACTTAAAAGATTGGTTATTTAAAAATAGTACATTGTTTGTTATTCTCTACAAAGATGGTAGAACATAAAAAAAGGTCTGAGCATAAGACATCCAAACAGACAGTTCCTATGTAAGACTTTCCACATAAATCTCAATAATTCCCAAACTGAAAGCAACTTTCTTTTTATAAAACACAAGTTCTCTTAACCTTGACAACACAAATAAAAGGAAAAACATATGTCGCCAAACAACAATTCCAAGTTTTAAACAAGGGATTCAATTCATTGATAAAAAAGATAAATTAGACAAACTAAACTCAATTTGAGAGAAATTAATCACCCCCAAATCAATAAAACCAATTCGCCGAATTTGCTAAACACACCACCGGCGATGTACGGTAGTCAATCGTATAACCATAAAACATAGTCGGAGAACTCAGGGTAGGGCAATTGGGGTTTCGAACTTGCCGGGTAATTAAAACTACATCCTAAATTCAAAGTCTTTCTCCCCGAAAATCAATTGAAGGTCAGTCACCGAATAATCAAAATTAGGAAAAGAGATCGGAGGCTAACCTTGTTTTGTTCGTCGGAAATTTTGTCGGAAAAGATGAAAAATTGCAAAAATGTTTTAAAATTTTGATATCTCTCTGCAGAAAACAATAACTATGGTGAAGATAAGTTTTTACAAGTACCAAGAAAACATGAGAAATTACGCAAAAAAAAGAAGAATCACGTCAATGTGCGTGAACTTCACAGGAGTGGTCAGATATACAGAAAATACAGACAAAATTAATGGGCTTTTTTTTTTTTTTTTGGTCATTTACTTGATTAAAGTTTTTTTGTATGTTATAGCTGCCAATTTCTCTAATTAATTTAGGGAAAAAACCCAAAAAAACCGTCATCTATTTTTTTTTGGCTGTTTAATACGTGTAGTTTTAAATTTGGAATAAAAATACCTAATTTAATTTCGGTTGTCTTTTAAAACCTTCGTTTTTAAAAAATTGGTAAAATCGTACGCCCGCGTTAACGTCGGTTAACGTTGGTAACGGAATTGCTAACTGTAGTTAAAGCTTAACCCATGATGTTAACGTATTTATATATGATATCTTTTCTTAACTTTTCGTATATGTTGTCGTAGTCAAGTGGTTAAACATGGGTTGTTTTGCCCACCATTTCCTGAGTTCGATCCCACCACATGACATTTAGATGTTTATTTTTTTCCTTAATTTGACTTCTTCTTCACAAAACACTCTATTCTTTCTTCACTGTAATTTTCTTTAAGATGTTCTCTAGTTCACAATTGCTGAATCTCACTTTCTCACCCAATTTTGTAATTGACAAACCTTTTGATTAATAAACAAAAGAATCAGAGTTTCAAACCAACAAATGAAAATTAGAAAACAAATCGCATTTTCATTTTAGTAAATTGCAGATCCGGTGGTTGTGCGTAGAACAAAGTTTCCAGATCTGGTGGTTGAAAATACCCGTTCCTCGGCGGATCTCGTTTCCTCACCACCATCGATTTCTTCCTCGACGGCGGTAGACAAACAGACGCCACCGAAATCTTATACATCATGTTTCTTGGTGTCGTACATCTTTCCTCCGCCATCTCCGTCGTCCTCTCCACAACCTCCATTCTTCTCTCTCTTTGTTTCTCTCGAACTCGAAGAAGAAGACGTCAAATTTAGAAAAAAAAAAAAAACGTCTAAATGACATAAAGTAGATCGAACTCAGGATAAGGTGGACAAAACAACCCATGTTTAACCACTTGACTACGACAACATATTCGAAAAGTTAAGAAAAGATATCGTATATAAATACGTTAACATCATGGGTTAAGCTTTAGCTACAGTTAGCCATTCTGTTACCAACGTTAACCGCCGTTAACTCGGGCATACGGTTTTACCAATTTTTTAAAAACGAAGGTTTTAAAAGACAACCGAAATTAAATTAGGTATTTTTATTCCAAATTTAAAACTACACGTATTAAACGGCCAAAAAAAAATAGATGACGGTTTTTTTGGGTTTTTTCCCAATTAATTTAGGAGAGAGTACTGGTCAATGTATCTTTTTTTTTTTTTTTTGTCAAATGAGTACTGGTATGTATCATCAAAATATCAGCATCGTCACCAAGTTGGTAAATGCTTGTGCTGATTTTTCCATGACCATGACTTTATTCCATGTTGTTGTTTTAAAAAACTATTTCGCTGACCAAGACTCATCCGCAAATCTCTCTTTTCTTGACATGAACCGTCTTGGGCAAGCCAATCATATCTAATGGTTTTAGTTTGTAGATTTCGTAATTACTTTAAGCTTGAATCAATAATGAGCGTATTTAATACATCAAATTTAAAATGAGACACTAGTTCCCAATCATGATTACTGATCCTCACGTTAGTTCCGTTTGATTCAAAAAGAATCCAAATTTTGGAGTTAAAGAAGAGCAATCAATATTACCCCTTCCTTTCAAAATAACCACTCCCTTTGTTCCAACATAATTTTCTTATTTTAGTGAAAATATCAAATTTAATGATGTTCTCATTTCTGTAATTCCAAATATTGGTGTATTTTATTGTTTGTGACTATATTTATTCTGCAGAATTTTAAAAATTAGTTGAGCAGTTTGTTTTTGAGACAATAAATTATGTTTAAATATAAAATAGACAAAAAAAATTTACAAAATTTATGTGCAAAAAAACTTAAATACTCTCTCCGTCTCACTTTATGTGATGTTTTAGAGAAAAAAATTTTGTTTCATTTTAAGTGATGTTTTCAATTTTCTATGAAAAAATTACATGTATTTAATTTTGCTTGACCAATTATATTTTTCAGCATATTTTCTAATTGGTTGAAATCATTTCATATAATGATGTTTTTGTATAAAAAAGGTAAATTAAATGAAAATTATGTGTTTTTTTTTTAATATGTGTAGAAACCTTAAACATCAATTAAAAAGATACAAATGCACTGTTAATTAAAATGTAGCAGAGGGAGTATCATCGTAAGGTTTTATTTTTCCTTCCCATCAACCTATTGGCATTTCTATCTAACAACATTTTCCAAACCTTCCATTAATTAATAGCACTATCATCTTTTTCAAGTTGAACTAGTTTTTAAATGGTCCACTGCCAATTTCTATAATTTATATGTTTCAATTAAATTATTCAAAGTCTTCTCCTTTTTGTTAAAATTATTATGTAGATGTTTTGTTAGCTAGGAGGCTGTATTTTTTTAATTCAAGATTATGTCATTACGTGTGCAGATCACATGCTCTCATTGAATGATTTTAATTTTCGATACAGTCAGAAGCAGAGAATTGGAGAAAAAGAGATTCTTTGTGGGTCTCAAGATGAGTTCAAGAATTGGAGTCTTTATGCTCCTAATCTTGCTTTTCTTCCAAATTTGTTCTGTATCTGCGCTCACAAATGATTTCGACGGTAAGTATAGTTAGATGATGATCAGAGTTTTTCAAATATATGAATCTCAAAATCGTTTGAATTAGTTTCAAAATTGTTGCAGTTATTGCTTTACAAGCCCTAAAGAGTAGTTTGACCATGCCTCCAAGGAATTGGAAAGGCTTTGATCCTTGTGTAAACAAGTGGGTTGGAATTTCATGTAACAATGACCGTATTGTTAACATGTAAGTATCTTGTTTTTGCTACTTCTTCCAATAATCATTTGCATACTTTAACGTTGAGTTGTTGTTGCAGATCACTAGGCAACCTTAACTTGGAAGGAAAGCTTCCTGCCTATATTACGACTTTGACTGAATTGCAAACCCTGTAGGTCTTTCTTCTTCTTCTTCTTCCTTTCCATAGAAATGTTTTTTTTCCTCATCTTATGATCCAATATTTATAGGGATTTGACATCTAATCCTAATTTAACTGGACCGCTTCCACCAAATATCGGTAACCTCAAGAAGTTGACGAACTTGTAAGATAACTAGATCATTACCAATTTGTAACCGCTTTGTCTTATCACATATTTTAACTAGTACTCCTTTTTTTTTCTACAGGAATCTTATGGGATGTGGTTTCAGTGGTCAAATCCCTGAGTCCATAGGATCTCTAGAACAACTTATAACACTGTAGGATTTTGTTGGTTCCTATTACTATAAACAATTGATTCTCTAACTAAACCCATTAGTATAACAATTTTTGATTCCTTTTATGCAGCTCCCTGAATTCAAATAAATTTAATGGAACAATTCCGGCTTCCATTGGCCAGTTATCAAAACTATATTGGTTCGATATAGCAGACAATCAGATAGAAGGAAAGCTTCCAGTTTCTGATGGAGCTTCTTTACCTGGACTTGATATGCTTCTTGAAACTAAGCATTTGTATATATAGATTCCAAATATTTCTATTTCTTTTTATATAAATCACTCTTTTTGATATACTAATTAAATCCGATTCTTTTACACTTTCTCATGCAGTCATTTTGGCAAAAACAAGCTTTCTGGCGATATACCAGAAAAGCTCTTCAGTGCCAACATGACTTTAAAACATTTGTAAGTTTCATAGTACATATGTGTAAGCTGTAATTTGTAACTAAATAAGTGATTGCATTGTTTGTTGTTTTATCGACAGGCTATTCGATGGAAACCTACTCACGGGTGAAATCCCACAGAGCCTTAGCCTTGTTAAAACGTTGACGGTGTTGTAAGTAGTAGAAAGAGATTTTTCAAAAAATTTGTTTATCCTAGTTAACTTTTTAAATCATATATGTTGTTTTCTTTGTGACAGACGCCTTGATAGGAATAGACTAAGTGGAGAAATTCCTTCAAGTCTTAATAATCTCACAAATCTTCAAGAACTGTAAGTGAGCAACTAAAGATTTGTTCTGTGTTCTCGTAGAAAATAAATAAAAAGAGGTGAAAGAGTTAGTAGTTGAATCCATTTCAGGTACTTGTCCGACAACAAATTTACAGGTAGTCTTCCAATTTTAACCAGCTTGACCAGTCTCTCCACATTGTAAGTTTCTATATTATTCTTACTATAATTTGTTGCTCAATTTACCATTAGAAACCTTCACTATCAATCAATCTAAAACCATGATGTGAATGTATTGTAACAGAGATGTGAGCTATAACCGATTGACTTCCTCACTAATTCCATCATGGATCTCATCATTAACGTCCTTGGCAACATTGTATGAACATCTCTCTATCTCTCTTTCTTGTTCTTGATCTCCATATTTATATAACTGGTCTTCTGGTTGTCAGAAGGATGGAAGGGCTCCAACTTCAAGGTCCAATACCAACCTCCCTATTCACCCCTACTCAGTTGCAGACTGTGTGAGTAAAACAATACATGAAACTTTGATTAAGAAGTCACTCAAAGTTGTGAAATATGTATTAATTGTGATATTTGTTTCTTGATTACTTGCAGTATCCTAAAGCGTAACTGGCTAAACGAAACATTGGACTTCGGTACCAACAAGAGCCAGCAATTAGATTTTGTGGATTTACAATATAATGACATAACTGAGTATAAACAATCAGTGAATAAAGGCAGCAGCAGGATAGTAATGTATGTATCGTCCACAAATCAAAATGACTTATTCTTTTCAATCAATTACTTATGAGTGCATGTTGATACTTCTACAGCTTGGCAAATAATCCAGTGTGTCCCGAGGTAGGGAACCCACCAGATGAATACTGCAAAGTAGTCAAACACAATTCTTCATATTCTTCTCCTCTAAACACATGTGGTGTTTGTGGTGATGAGGACATGGAACCGACTCCCACCACGTGTCGTTGTGTGTATCCAATCACAGGAACACTCACTTTCAGGTCGCCTTCCTTCTCAGGGTATTCCAACAACAACACCTTCGAGATGCTCAGGCTAAACTTAACAGATTTCTTTAACAAGAAAAGTTATCAAGTAGATTCAGTGGCCATAAGAAACATCAGAGAGGATGAAAATGATCATTATCTTCTAATAGATCTCTCGGTCTTTCCATATAAAACAGAGAGATTTAATGAGACGGGAATGAGTAGTGTTATTTCCAGGTTTAGCACGCAGACTTATAAACCTCCTCCGATGTTTGGCCCTTACATATTCAAAGCCAATGAGTACAATAAGTTCCCTACAGGTATGATAAAAACGGTCATACACACAATCTAACAAGATCTAAACTTGGTTCTGTATGACTTATTTGCTCTGCTTTTTTTTTCCCACAAATGTAGGAGGTTCAAACTCATCACACATCATTGGAGCTATACTTGGTTCTAGTGTTTTTCTGTTAATGCTAATGATAGCTGGGATCTATGCTCTTAAGCAAAAGAGGAGAGCAGAGAGAGCGAACGAACAAATTAATCCTTTCGGTAAGAACTATAAGAAGACGTTTTACTACCATGGAAGACTGACAAAATTCTAACAGCTTTTCTTTTGTATGTTGTAGCCAAGTGGGATGTGAATCAGAACAGTGTCGATGCTCCACAGTTAATGGGAACAAAAGCATTTACTTTTGAAGAGATGAGGAAATGCGCAAACAACTTTTCGGTGGCAAATGATGTTGGTGGTGGAGGTTATGGCCAGGTATACAAAGGCATTCTTCCTAATGGGCAACTCATAGCAATTAAAAGAGCTCAACCAGGATCTTTGCAAGGAGCGTTGGAGTTTAAAACTGAGATCGAGCTTCTTTCAAGAGTCCATCATAAGAATGTTGTCAAACTCTTAGGCTTTTGCTTTGATCGAGGAGAACAAATGCTCGTATACGAGTACATTCCAAATGGTTCTCTTAGAGATAGTCTATCAGGTAATATCAAGTCTCTCCCTTCTTTAAAGAATTTATTTTGTATTGAACCAGAAAAAAAAATGCAGGCAAAAGTGGGATTAGACTTGATTGGACAAGAAGGCTTAGAATAGCACTTGGATCAGGGAAGGGCTTGGCTTATCTTCATGAACTTGCTGATCCTCCAATTATACACAGAGACGTCAAATCAAGTAATATATTACTTGACGAACGTCTAAATGCAAAAGTTGCTGATTTTGGCCTATCCCAACTTGTGGAAGATGCAGAGAAAGCTAATGTAACAGCACAAGTGAAGGGAACTATGGTGAGTAGAGAATAAATCATCCTCTTTTCTCTCTTTACCAAATACATTTTAAACTCTCAATTTATTTTGAATTAGGGCTATCTTGATCCTGAGTACTACATGACGAATCAATTGACAGAGAAGAGCGATGTGTATGGTTTTGGGGTTGTGATGCTTGAGCTGTTAACCGGTAAGATTCCGATAGAGAATGGAAAATATGTGGTGAAAGAGATGAAGATGAAGATGAATAAATCGAAAAACTTGTATGACTTACAAGAATTGTTGGACACTTCCATTAGCACAGCCAGCAAGAATCTCAAAGGATTTGAAAAGTATGTAGATCTTGCTTTAAGATGTGTGGATCCAGAAGGAGTGAAGAGGCCATCAATGAATGAGGCTGTGAAAGAGATTGAGAACATAATGCAGCATGCAGGATTAGTAGATTCATCTGCGAGTTCAAGAACGTATGATGAAGAAAGCAAAGGATCTGGGGATCTTTATGGAAACAACTCTTTTGAGTATAGTGCAAGTTTCCCAACTGCAAATCTCGAACCCCAATGATTGGTTATGGGTTGGTTTGTTTATTTATCCAGATGCTACGTCCAAATACTATGCTTTGATTGCTTTCTGCTTTTTCAAAGTAGGCATGTGAGTCTCAAGATGTAGAAATTGGCTGCAACGAACTTTTGATGTATCCAAAATAATTGGAGTATCTTGATGTATAAAATGCATCCAAATTTTTCAAAATACTAAAATGCCCTCATTGAAACTACTATTAGTTAAACACTAGTTTTAACTTTTAATCACGTCATAGTTTATAAAGAAATATCATTTGAAGTCGAAATAGAGAAAATCATAAGTTTATGCCTAAACTAGAATTGCATTGTAACGCCAAGATAGAAAACTCACAATTTGATACCATAACTGCGAAATTAATTTGGTGATGCTTGAACTATTAACCTGTTAAAAGTGAGATAGAAAGAGGTAATTGAGTGGTGAGATAGGTGTATAGGAAGATGGATAAATCAAGGAATTTTTATGAATTGCAAGAATTGTCGGACTTTACTATCATTGTAAGTGGTATATTGTTTTTTTTTTTCTTACTATAAGAATAGATATATTTATTAATTGCTTGGAAACCATTAAAAAGTACTAATTTAATCTTACATTAAGAAAAAGTAGATATTGAGAAAACTAATTTAAGTATATAGCTCTTCCAAATCTTGTTATTCACTTATTAGTAAAAAAATTAAAGTACTTACATGAACACCAAATGTATTGGCTTTGTCCTAAAATTTCCCCTTTTAAGAGAGAAAAAAGGTGAGAAAGATAACATAACAAAACAAACATATAACTGCAGTAGCTAGATGATAATTTCAATGTTTTTAAATGACATATTGCCCCTTTTCATTAAGGGGGTAGGAAAGAGGGAGGAGTTGTTGGCCTCTTAATTACGATCATTTAACTCTTTTTGTAAAAATGTTTAGTTGTTTACAAACAAACAAAAAAAGAAAGAGAGACAGAGAGAACGAGAGCTAAAAGGTACTAATCAAGTAGGAGGAAAAGAAGGTAGAGAGGCTTGAGCAAGCTTTCTAAGGTTATCAATTATCATTGCTAGCTTTGTGTTTAGTCTGTTCACAAAACACTTTGGCAACCATCCTGCAGGATCCAACTGTGTATAAAAAGAAAAACAATGACACATATATTAACGAAAGAACAAAAAGAAAAAGAAAAGGAAAAAAAAGGTAGGAGAGTTAAAAATTAATGACCTGAACAACATAAGTAATCATGCAAGAGGTATCATCAAGCTTCTCCAAAACCCAACCTGACTCAACCAAAAATCCTCTAATAATGGAATTGTTTTTCTTTTTCTTTGTTGGCTCCAATCCTTCTGCCATTTCCTTTGGTAGTGAAGCAACCGCCACCACGAGAGTGCCGTCTTGCATGGTCTCACGTCTTTCGTAGACAATGAACTCTCTGTTCCTGAAGAGCGGTTTCGAGTTTTCGCCAAACCTTAAACGGATTACGCTCAGATTCTCATCTATTTCTCTAATGTGTGTTGCTTCCACCAGGTCACCTTCCCATTGCTGTCATTTTTCTCCAATAATCATTATTATTATTTTACCAAACTCCAATTATTAATGAAGTAGGTAATAAACCTACCATGTGTTAATTTTAATTAAAGCAAAACAAAAAAAAAACCTACCATGTGTTAAATAATACTATTACAAACTTTATACATATATATATATATAATTTAATTTTAACAACTAATCTGATGTTTAATTTGACAAAAAAAAACTATCATTTTTACAATATCTACTATCTACTAATACACACTTGACTTTCACCCTTTTTTTTTAACAAATATTAGTTTATGTATCATATTCCATAAATTTTATTAAGATATGAATAAATGTAGATTAAACATGTAGTTCTACTTTTAAATTAGCTAACGAAAAGGATGTGAAAATATATTATTGAGTAAATATCTCTCTTAGTATATCTTGGTAGCAGCATATATTGTTTTTGTTTGAGGACATGCATAGTTGCATATTGTAGGGAAGCACTGAGAAATGATTACCTTGGCCGCGTCTATGGCATTTGCGACTGTGATGAACTGCTCTGGAGAGACTGATGTGAGGATCCTACGGCTTCGAAACGCGTGTAGTGATCCCGAGTCGCGTTTTGAAATCTCGACACCGTTCGAGTCATGCCTCACCATCTTCCACCCATTAGAAGCGTTCCCAAAGCGTCCGGCCTCAGAGGAAGATAAGAGCTCTTGAATGCAGCTCTCACTCGCAAACCTCACGTACCTTCTTAGCGACTCCTCACTCACCGACCTAACAATGTAGCATTTCTTGTTTCATTTATGCTACAACGTAGAAACATATTATGATTTTGGAACATAGATGTTACTTACCAGGAGCTGCTGGAGGGGACTAGACCGTTCATGATGTGGAGAGGAGATTGAGGAATCCGAAGGTATGAAGACTTATGCTGTGGTTGCTCTGCATTTTAAGTCATGGATTTGGTTAAGAAAGAGAGAGTGAGAGAGAGAAAGAGACAGAGTTGAAAGCAGAATAGTGGGTAAGTGGGACAAGGAGGGGGAGAGAGCACATGCAATGACTAGTGGGAACTGAAATCATTATACATCTTCCTCTTACTCAAATCATTCTTGAAAATTACAATTATATCTACATATTAGTATTTGTGTGTGTTTCTCAAGTTGGGTTTATTTACGAAATGTTATTTTTAATTTTCTGATTATCCAAGAAATTTCGGATCCTAGGGGCTAGGGATATACATTACTTGGGACCGGAACTAGCATTTCAAGGAAACACGACTTTTCATTCATTTTGAAGGATCATACGTTACTAGACCAAGTGCTACTCGTGAATGATAATGTTTATAAGTACTTCACATTGATTTATGAGTCTTTTTTTTTTTTTTAATAACTTTGTCACTTTAAGACTCCTTTTTCGTTGGTAAACAACTTTAAGACTCCTTTATATCATCGACCTACAATTATGCCAAACTATCGATGTCAAAAAAAAAAAAAAAAATAGATCAGTAAAATTTCTCATGTATTTTATGTTGAGTGAAAATTGTTCGTGAATATTTCCGTATAAATTTGATTGTATTTAAATAATTTTTCATGTTTCGTGATGAGTTTTGACTAAAACAAGTTCAATATTGTTACTAGCTAGATTATTACTCAATATAGATATTAATATATTTATTTCCTTTCATAAAATTTGTTGGATATATATGCATTTCTTTACAACGATTCTATATGCATTTGTACAACCGTAAATTTTTTTTTTTGTAACTAATTTTTATGATATATTTATTTAAAACGTATCTATTCAATTAACAACTCTGTCTTTATCCAAAAAATATAGGCGGTATATAAAATCCACTACTTTATTTTCTCCAAATTATATAGCAAGATTACATCCCATGTGTCGATAGAGCTCAATGTGGGCAGTGTCTCATAGGAAATTTTAAGTTGACTTTGAGGCTTTTGATTAAAGATTTTTTTTTTCCTTTTATCTTAAGGCTCAAATGTATAGGATGGTGTCACATTTGTTGTTCAACTGTATCTCACATATTTGGGGAAGAAATTAAGAAACCTAGATGCCTAGTATTATGAGAATTGAGTCAATTTTCTTGTGATAAGAAAATGTTTAAATAAGTATTTTATTTGTTATTTTGTGGGATTGAAAAATTATTCTTATTTCGATTTACAAATAAGTTTGATAGGTATATGTAGATTTTTATACTTTCTTCTATCCGCTGTTATCGCAGTTGAAATTATGTAAATGTTATGTTCTTTGATTGCCTTTTTCTTGTTTAACTCCATTTAGTTAGATTTCGCAACCACACTACCCGCCAAGTTTAATACTCCCTCCGTTTCGTTTTACTTGTCGTTTTAGCGTTAAAATTTTGTTTCATAATAGTTGTCGTTTTAAGTTTTCGATATAAATGTTTGGTGAAACACTACAAAAAAAAGGTTGAATTGAATCACTTAAATTGAATCACAAAACTAAATGATATTGTTTTAAATTACTTATTAATAATTGATACAAAAATTAAAATGTTACATCATTTGTAATAATCGATGTAGTTATTAATTTGTATGACATCAATTGATTAAAACTGATGCAAATCTAAATTAATCTGTATCACTTTTACATATTGATACAAATATATAAATTTACATCAATTAAATAATTGATCTATTAATTTATATTAACATCACTTAAGAAAATGATATTTAATTTACATCAATAAAAAGTGATGCTAATAAAAATTATTTTAATAACATCAATTTTTTTTAAAAAATTATAGGTCCTTAAAAAAATGGTAATTTAGCATCAATTCTTTTATGATTTTACATCACTTTTTTTTTAATTGCCGATCCAAAAATTTCCCTTTTATTTTCAATTTTTTTCGTGGGTGTCTTTTTTTTTTAAAACAAATCTAGTCTAATATTTTTTTGGAAACAGAATAACCATTTACCTTTTCCCCACGATTACCAATCTCCCTAGAATCCTAACTTCTCTAATATCTCTAGAAATATACGTTTCCTTGACACTATCTATTAGATATTATTTTTTTTACATAACTTCTTCTTCTTCTTCGTCTTCTTCTTCTTCTTCTTCTTTCTTTTATCAATATACAAACTTTGTAATGATTTTCCCTTTCAATATACAAACTTTGTAATGATTTTCTCTTTCTGTGCCATCCAAGCGCATATAGAAGAACGAAACGCCAAAAACATGCCGTCAAAGTTAAACCGAGTCAAATTGTTTATGTCTATTCTAGTGTAACCGGTGAAGAAGTCGGAGCCGCCAATTCTCAGTCCTCTCGGTCTCACCCCTAATTAAGAAGATCGGAGAAAAAAAAGCCAACGGTGTACAACCTTCAGTCTAATGTCACGGTGGTTCCATTTGGTATAGCTCTTGCTTTTAACGTCAAGGAGTCGGAGAGAGATCGTGAGAAGGTTAAAAACATAAAGCACAATGAATTTTTTTTTTGAGACCTAGATTTATCGTAAAGGAGCTTAGCGGGTCGTGAGGAAGGCTATAAGGACATCGTCTCTGTGTGATTCACTGTTGATGGAAAATATCCAAAGGGTTTTCAGCATGAGATTCAAGGTTTGGTCGAGA